AACACAGAAAAACAAGTTGGAAAGAAACAATGGAAAATCTAGGGCCCTCTAAAGGGGTATATCGGAACACATGGGGATATTGCACAGAAATAATGGAGAACCAAATGGACAGGCTGAATACTTCTGCCCATTTGGGAAACTGTAATTCAGGCCAGGTCTCATATGAGGTTTAGGGTTTAGGTTTGAGTTGCCATGCACCATTGCCACGTCGAGTATGGTTCTAATGATGTTTGCAGTTAGCTGCCAGCATATTGTGCTTGCAGTTTCTGTTTCTGCGCACGCTTGGGTTCGACTTGTTGGAGTGGATCATGGATAACAGTATGCAAGGTCAATATGTGAACTTTGATATGTCCTGCGCCATCGTGCGCAAGCGCTGCTTAGCCATTGTGGTGAAGTTTGATGTTTGAGCTCATTTCTCCTTGTCTTCTTTGAGCTAGTCGCGGTAAGGGAAACCCTTGGTTTTGCCCCTAACTCAGTTCCAGTGCCAGGTTCGGAACGGAGTCGTGCCTCACCCTGGATGTGTGCCTGAGCACAACCCAGCGCTACAGGGTCATTGGTCATCAGATGTCATTCGGTCATGTATACAAGTCTCAGCGCTGAATGATCAAGACACCCAGGTATTGCATGAAGAGCAATTCTAACTGGCCACCGCAAGGTACACTCCAGCCGTTGTCAAGGTCCCGAAAGGCACTTGCCTGTCACATTTAGGTTTAAGCCGTCATTTGCCATGCGTAAAGCGTATGCGCCTATACTGGAGTTTTTTCAAGCAAGCCGTCAATCACTCAAGAGGTGCCCTTCTTAGCCCTTCAGACTCCGTACTCGAAATTTCTGCATCTATTATGATGGCTTGCGCTTTTACCTTGCATTTTGCAAAAGCTTTGCTTTCAAACTGTTCTGGTCTGTCCTGGGATGAGTTGCTTAGGACTTGCTGTGCAGCTGTTTGACTTTCCAATTCAGAAGATTTCCATCGTGCAGTTGTTTTCGTGACATTGAAGCTTGGAAGCTGGATCGCACACGTCGCATGGCCTGCCAGGCAGCAAGGCCTCGCCTTATCGCCTCGCCGTGGACAGTGGTCTCCCTGTGCCGATGCAGCATGTGGGTCTTGTAGTCTTGAGATTGATGATTGAAGGATTCCATGCCTTGCCTGTCACGTTTCTGCACATTGGTTTGTGCTGCATCGCGTCGTGGGGTTTGAGGTGTAGAGCTCTGGGCTTCGCAGGCCTTAAGATCAGTCCACTTGGACAATTGTAGAGCTGGAGAGTTCTCCGGTTCCGAGCATGCAGTGAGGATTGAGACATGAAGATGCCACAAGGATGAAATGTCTGCGATGCATCGCAAGAAATATCATATTACCGGCTTTTTCAAGAAGGAAGCCGCAAAAGGATTTCGCCTTGGCCGTGCTCGTTGAAATTTAGAAATTTCCACGTCTTAGCGGATCTTGAATAACGATGAACATATTCTTCAAGACGCTGATGAATTGTCAGCTGCATTATCCTTGAAATCATCGTCTGCAGATTGAGATGCGTGAGCACACAGGTCATGGTCTTCATCGAAGGCGGTGGCTTCGTCGTTGCTTACCTGGACTAGCATGTTTCAGTCGAGGGGAAGGCGTCGACAGTGAGGTTTTGTGGCTAGCGGCTTATGCTGCAGAACTCAGTTGTTTCATGACTCAAAATCACATCAACGCCAAACTATAATGCCGTGCAACATCCAAGTTTGAGGGTCAGGATGTGTTTTAGTCTTCTTTCCGGAGGATGCCGCGCTATTTGATTTTTTTTCTCCTATGTCCTACTCCTGAGCCCTTCAAACACGCGACACTTGAACCCCATTGCTGCACTGAGCGGCTGAGATCGGGGACAAGTACCAGCAGGGCATCTATGATGCGCGGAAGCTGGCCCGCGCGCAAAACATCGTTGTGGTCAGTATCAACTACAGGCCTGCTCTATGGGAGCTACAAAGAATGGGGTATATATGCGCAAACATAGGGGTATACAGGGGTTGTGTGGTAGACAGAATAATGATAAAGAAAATGGAACATGAAATGGAAACCTGGGGTTCTATACTAACAGTGCCAAATCAGGCTTCAGTGGCGGAAGACATGGTTGTTGATCATTCCTCTTTCTCAGATGGCCATTACCGAAAAGACATTTCCCGACAATTTCACTGATAGGCCTACGGGAACACTAACCAATTTTCCCCAGAGGACCTTTAGATCAATCCCCACATTTGTCTTGATCCAGGCATCCTGACGGTGCTTGAAGGAATGGCGAAGGGGCCGCAACCCATGATTAGGACTCCCTATAGGACCTCCCCCCTAAGCCTCCCTAAGGTCCCATGTGATCTCTTAATATGGGGGCTCCCATATATGGAGCCCCCTTTAGGGCTTCCTTAAGTGGGTGCTTGCAGCACTGTGCAAGTATTGTGGCAGCATTCATCTCTCAGTGGCAATATTCATTTCTGGTATTTAAAGACCCAGCGGACTTAGCAAGTAAGTAGGTTTTAAACGGGGCTTTGAGTACCCTATTGGGGGTCGGCCTACTGAGAATCCCATGCATTCATAAACTGTTAGCTAAGTCCCCTGGGCCTTGAATCCCGCCGATGGTCAAATCGTGTGAGTTCCAGCCACCAGATGTGGCATTTTCCACCCAAGAATACCAAAACGGACCCCTAATGTTGAGAAACTCTACATATAGAATCCTTGCATACCCGTATATAACCCCCATATAACCCCTATATATCCACCATAACATCTTTAATGTGCTCTGTTACACAGGCTAGGTGTCTTTGGCTTTCTGCATCACCCATACCTCCGTGACCTAGAGGCGAGATGAGCGAGGAGTCTGCCTGCTAAGCCAGCAGAAGGATTCTGGAGGGTTGAGGACAGAGTCTATGATTTCTATATCGGCAGTTCGGTTGTGAGTTCAGTTTGTTTGTCTAGGCTCGGGCTGGCATCAGTCCACGCCGCTTCGCGAGCAGGGTTTGGAGTTTAGGGTGCACAACCGCCTCATACCTTGCTGAACTCTGAAACCCAGCACAGAATGCAGCATCGCTCAATGAACGACAGAGCCGAATTCTGGCCATAGTCCCCGCAAAGTCACATCCGACATCTTCTGATCGTACAGTCAGTCTCGTCCCTAAACCTTTCACCCCCTAAATCTCCAAGTCAATCCTGAATGTCAATGTTCACAACCTCAAGTCCTCAAGCAGAATGCAAGGGTTGTTTCAGCAATTTTGGGTGCTAATGAAGATGAGAGTTCAGAGCTGTAAGGCTAGTTGAGTGCCCGGGAGTTGCTCGTTGCAGGCAGGCGAGCCCCTGGCAAATTTCGGTCTGCGCGACCAGCTGCAGGCGGCTCCCAGGGTTCTTGGAACATGTAGGGTTCGGGGTCTAGGGAATGGAAGAGAGAAGGGAGACTACTAAAAGTCTAGGGCTTAGGATTCAATCAGTGTTTAGGTTTCACGGAATGGAAAAGCAAATGGAAACTAAAGTAACAGAGAATCAAATGAAAAAGGAAGTGGACCTTGAAACCAGGTTAGATTAATGGCGTATTCCCTAGAAGCAGTTTTTGTACATTATGGGCCATCATCCCCGCAAGGGGCATCTAGTAGTTTGAAGTGCTGCGCACCGCATCTATCTTTTCTGTGCGACTGGCTGATTGGGTGACCGACCGAATCATCCTGACCAAGGAACCACAAAGAATCCTCTGTGTGGATCTAGCGGCGAGGACCCCTGAAGCCCTGCAGTGCACTCCGACCTGAAAACAGACTGAGTACCCGGAGGCCTGCAAACGTGTGCACCTGTAAACCACTCAGCTAGTAAAGCAAACTGCGGCAAAGCCGGCCTGCGGAATCTAGCTTCAGCCTGGCAGTGGGCAGACTGAGCAACGGAGTGTTATTCCCGTGGTCAAGCTTGGGGATCATGTCGGGTGTCCTGATACGTGTCAATGAGCTCCTGAAGAGCCGGGGTAGAGACTGTGTGAATTCGAGGACTGTACGCTATTTGTGGGAAAGCGACATGGATCACCAAGACGGTCAAAGCTCTCAACATTCAAGCCCCTGGTATCCCTGCACCAAAATGGGGGCCCGCAAGTCGTGGGGAACCCGATCAATTTCAGCCACTGACCTGAGCAGCTGTGTGATGGCAAGAAGGTGCGGTCCTTTTAGATTCTCTGAATCATCCTTCAGTTTCAGGAGAAAACTCTCAGTGAGGGTCTGCCAGGCTTACAGGCTTGTCCCAAAGCAAACCCTTGCCGGGTCCTTAGTCTGCTAGTCGATCCTCCCATGCTTGAACCGACCGCCTTTCGGCTGCGGCTATGGTCAACGCAGATACTCACTGTTTTGTGCTCCATGCTGGCAAACCCGAGACAAACCCTTCACTCCTTTGCCTTGGCCAAGAGTAGAGACTTTTGCATCACCTTTACCATCCCGTGGGCTTGGCAAATATCAACGTTTCACAAGCATCCGTGTATCTCACTGAGCGCCAGGCTCTGCGGTGGGTTCAGACGAGCCTCTCTCTCATTCAGGAAGGGTTCAGAGTAGTAATGGTAGAAGTACTGTACCAATAATGACCGTGTAATCGTACTAATCGTAGAACTAAAGCTATTAGTACTCACAGTAATATTGCCGAGCCGTGGAGCAGCCCTGAGGCCAGATCATGCTTTCATAATTTAAGGTTTGGGGTCTCGGTCGTTCTGCCAAAGGTTGTTTCGGTTGCAGCGGCCATTGGAGCAACCTTCTACATGAGGATTACCCTGGATTCATCACAATGCCTGTCCCTGTGCCACTCTGCGGTTCCTATTGCATACAGGTCCCCAAATAGTTTTCCCCCCATTTTGGGAACAGTAATTTAAGCCAAGTCCCGCATGTTTACTGGGCATCTCAGACAGTAGTGACACATGTCATGACCTAAGCCCTAGCCTACCTCACGTTTCCGACAAAGGAACATTGCAGCTTTTGGTGGTGACCCAAACCGGGTAACCTTGGTCGGAGAGTCTGCGGGTGCCATGTCAATTTGTGCCTTGGGTTGCATTTGGTTGGAACAGACACAGGTTGCTTGGCAGAAGTCGTGTGAGTTGTGATGAACCTGCATCATGATAACCAATGCAGCTTCCTCATGCAACTAGACATCTTTAACAAGGCCTCGAGTGAAGTAACTGGAGGTGCACACATTGCTTCACCTACCAGCCGGGCATACTTCCGCAGTGCTGTGCTCGAATCCGGGACACCAGTTTTAGAGCTTGGGTTCAGCTGAGTTTAGGGTCGAGCTCAGCTTGAGAGGTGGGCGCGGTCTTGGAGTTACTTGGAATAGTTGCTGCTTATTATGAGTCATGCTCCCTACATATTCCCTAACGCCATTTGATAGGGCCCCTAAATCCCATTTGAAGCAGGGGTCCTTTCTAGCAGGCTTGGTTGGAAGTCTGCATTGGCATCCATGAGGTTACATAGTGTCATAGCTGCGGTGGATTTGGTTACATCGCGTTCTACTTCTCTCTCTCAACAACTGGCGCGAGAAAGTGATTCTCTCTGAGCAGTGCTATGCCCCTGGATGGATTCGAGCATGCTCCCAAATGCCAACAGGATTTGAGAGGAACCACTACGTACTTGTGTCCATGTATCTTGTTCCCAGCATGTTTTTGACCAATTTCACGACTTTTCGCATGTCCCTGGAGGAACTGTGACGGGCTCTTCATTTGGCAGCCGCAGAGGTATGCACAGGTGTGCCTTTTGAGATGGCAATTCGGACCTAAAGAGGGGCTGAGGCTTACATTTTCTATGTTGAGGACGTGTTGGTTTCATCTGGAGGGTTGTGGTATGGCACCCCCTGCCTTGGAAGTGGGAATAGTTTTCAACACTGGCAGGTGGAGCCAACCTGCATCATCAAAGAGACCCAGATCCGCCATGACCGGTCCTGTAGTCCCTGACGCAGAGGACTATGGGCTTCGCTACATCCGTGGGGTATTCGGCCGCATCCGGGGCTGCTACTTGAGAACCTGGTCGGCAAGAGTTAGGCATTTGGTGCTGAAGTTCATTTAATTTGGCGCAGAGTTCAGGGTGAGGCAGAGTTTTGGTTCGAGGTGCGAGAGATCAAAGGTAGAGGGCTGCCGGGGACCCCTGCTTTCCTGGAGCTCTTTCAACGACTTCCGTCCAAGTTGGAGTTTTTTTTGGGGAGCCTAGCCCTGAACAAATGAAGTCCGGCTCATGCTCACTTGACAGAGTGGCTTCCAGGGTTTCTTTTGAGTTTTCCTCGATTCAGAAAAGACGCAGTTCGGCTTGCCGCTAGTCATAGACTCCGTAGACCCTACCCCTATGGGTGCTGCAGTGGCAAGCAGGCGATGAGATCCAGAACAAGACCTACAAGGCCAGGTTTGGTCGAAGTGAGAGTCAAAGTCCAAAAAGGGGTTGTGCAGAGGGTATATTAGGATTTAGGCGGTTTAGGGTTCAGGGTGTATCGGAGTATATAGCGGCCAATATAGTACGCCTCTATATTTGGGAGAACCTTGTGATTAGCAAGACGGATGTTGCTCTGACTTGATGCGACTTCTGGTCATTGCTAACTCCCGGCTTCTGTGTGAGTTCATACTTCTTTGAACCACCAGAGGTTTGGCTTGGGGCTGGCTCCCTTTGATATCTGCTGCAAACGAGATCAAAGCATGATACCCTGCCTGCACCCTTTCAGCCTGAAATCTTAAACACAGAGATGGACCCCAGGAGACCTAACCTCCGAACTTTCAAGCCCACAGACCCTTGCGTCTCCTGCGCACATGGAGTAGGACAGCCAGAATCAGTGCTCCAAAGACGACACCGCCCCCATGGAGCTGGTCCGGGACCTGTGCCTCTGAGAAGATGTTGGCGTATATAGGGATGTATAGGGAAATATATAGTCATATTATTGGGATTATCGAGTTATATAGGGTTATACAGGGTCAT